ATTCTCATTAGCTGTGGGTCAAGTTGCAGAGGATTATATTCTGGTTTAACCGTATTAAGTGAGGAAGACAATAAGAGATTTTTTTCACAGTTGACAGTTTGAATATCATCTTTTTATGATTACTTAACTATTTTGGTTGAATATGGTAAAGTAACAATTAAATAAAATTTTATTTCACCAATTTTACGAGAAATTTCAAGCAATGAGGATCTAATATTCTAAGCAAAATATATTGCTTTATAAAGTAAGTCATTATTCAATGAAAAATTTCAATACCATGTTGTTGTTTTTTTGTTTTCAATTATAATTTGTTCTTGTTTACGATAGTAAAAACTATCTTCAGTCCCAAGCTTTTCAGCATTTTAAAATGTATGTTCCATTTATTTCAGAAAAGGAATAGGTAGAAGTTCAGTTGGAAATTACAGCTCAGGTATTTATAAAAAACTTGTAGACTTGATTTTATTTTTAAAAATTGGCTTATTTAACTAACTCAAACTATTTAACTATTATTTATTAAATTGGCTTGAAATTCGTCATGTAGTATAAACTACATTAAAGCATCATTCTTTTTCATAAAGAAAGGGATATAGAAGATAAAATTAATATCTAGATATATTAACAAACATTCAACTTAAAGCAAGCTCCTAATTTCAATCTAATTATTTTTATTTCTAAATCTTGTAAGAAATTTTTTTAAAAACGGGTAACTATAAAAATTTGCTCCCAACTTAAAGCATTTAAAATACAACAAATAAAGTATTTATCAATATTTCAATAACATATTTCTCAACGTTTTGCACATCATGCATTTTTAAATCACTTTTTTTAATAGAAATTAAGGGACTCTATTTTGAATGAAATCCTGAAGAACAGCTTTGATTTCTTTCCCAAAATTCATTAAAAAAAATATCAATTGAAATAAAAATATTTTTTTCTTTGACATCCTTTTTCTTCTTATTTAAAAAAATAATACACGTGCTAAAATAAAATACCGTGTTAAAATATAATAGTGATACGTGTTGAAATAAAATGCCTTTGAGCAAAGTATAACGAAAAAAATGCTTATTCCATTGTCCAAATGTAACGTTTTGCTTGAATTTCAACATTAGTTTGATTAGAATATTGATGTCGCTATCATGCGCTATCGGTTACTGTTGCTAATGCTGATCCAAAAACAACATTGACGCATTCGCATTTAGATCCAGAGGAGATATAGATGTAGTAATCACCCGGTCTTCGCACCAAACTCCCCAGTCGTGAAACCATGCCTGGAGTTTTTCAGCTCTGAAGCTACTGTGAAAATTACATTAGAGTGAATTTCAACATCATTAAGACACGATCGGTGAAGGTGCAGTACTTTCATTTATCAGTACTTTCATATACCCAATTTTTCATATACCAGTACTTTCATATACTCAGGCAAGGGAAATCGAACATCTGCCGAAGACGTGGTAGGCGAAGACTAAACCCATCACACCAATCGGACGTCATTTCAGCATTAGTTAGATTACTGATCATTCCTTTTATCACATTCCTTTTTAGTTTAACTGGATATGCATATAACAACACTTTTTTGAGTAGTTCTGTTAGTAGACAAACTTTTGCAATCATTTGATACATTTGATGTCTATATATTTTGTAGTAAAAATTTTAAATTTCTTTGTCTAATATTTCTAACACTTCATTATGTTACATTTTAGGAAATGCAGACAGTATTGAGTGGATTTTCATATGGGGAGGACTTGCGACTGTCGTTCTGATCCTTTTTTGTTACATTTGCATTCAAATTGATTGCGATTCCGACATAGAAAAACTGAGTGCTACCGAAGATTCTCCTTTAATACATTGATTGAAAAATTAACCTATCAAACTACGGTGTGTTTTAACATTACACTTAGTGTAGAAGTTAAGAAACTGACATTGAAAGAAATATCTTCCTTGTTTCATTATGAAAACAAGATTACATTTTTAATGTGTAACTTCCATTCGTTTAATGTATTTTAATGTGACTATGATCACAACACGGCATTAACAAACTTATGTTTCAAAAATATTTTTTAAGTGTTTTAGTTGTACAAAAAAATTATTTTTAAATTGCCGAAAACTTTAAATAGCTTCACAAAATATGGGAATGTAACTTTACTGCGTTAATTATTGTACCTTGTATTCATGTTTCTGGTAGAAAAAAAAACTGCATTTCGATGACGTAAACAAGAAGAAATTAATCAAAAATATTCCAGAAGATTGGAAGAAAATCATGATTCTTTTAAGTGCTTCTCTGAAATTTTCGTATATAGTATTCAGTGTTTAGTATTCTACTATCAATATTTAGAAATTTTTACTTCGAATTTAGAAGCTGTGAGCATCATGAATAAAAATTCTACTTTAGAATCAGGAAGGTTACAAATGATTTTTATTGTTAAAAAATTGTGGCAAAGGAAGGGTAACAAGACGAACTTAAAAGTTTGAAAAAGCTTTTTCCTGGATTTTTAAGTAATTTAAAACTTTGAAATTTAGAAAGAGAATTCTATTAATCTTTGCGTTTACATATATATACAGGTTGTTCCGTAAAGACAGCCCTTAATAAGTATTTTTAGAATCCTTATCAAAAATGAAAATGAGAAAGTGGACAATCTGGGGTTCACAAATTAATGTTTTAGCCTGGAAAAAACACAACGTAATTGAAATTTGACCAACTGTATATAGAAGGACGAATACAGGACAATATAAATCAAGGTAAGAAAGGTTTATATTCAAAAATGCAACGAAACAATCTCACTCAGGTGCTTTTTGATAAAAGGACAAATAACACTTTAAAAAAATTGACAAACTACCCATAATTAAACAAAATTTTAAAGATTACGATGCAAAAAAANTGGGCGACAGAGCGAGACTCCGTCTCAAAAAAAAAAAAAAAAAAAAAAAACTTTCGGCTTCACTGCTATTAGACAATACAGTCTACAGACTAGCAGACCAATGAAAGGTTTTATGGTCCGTTTTTTGCTTCATTACCTTCCCTGTCAGAATATTCAAAATGTACCCAAGATTTGCATCTAAAGCACCAATATTATAATTAGTCTTTTCTTTCTCCCCAAATCATTACTTTTTCAGCTTACCCTAAATCGTCATTTAGGATTTGAATCGTTATCCAGGCTTATTGCGCTGAGAAAAAAAAGCATGATCAAAATTACCAGAATATGGTAAAACTTACCATGCGTCTAGCTCTATGGGAACACCAAAAAGCTTAATAATTTTTACCAATGCGCAATGCAATTTTTACCAATGCGCGATTAACAATAAAATATGATTTTATAATCTGAGATAAAATTTGGTGGATGCGGACAAATTTGTTGATTTTGTCATAATACTCTAGAACATTGCATAATAGCCATTTTCTCAGTTGAATTTAAGTTTCAGTTTCGTATTTTTTTACTAAATGTGTGGTAATAGAAACTATAATTTTGAAAACCAGAATTTCGTTTTCTTGTGAACCTTTACCATATAAATGGAAAAAATTACCTAATGAATGGTTTAAATACTGTGTAGCGTATCTACCACTACAGAATTGCAACTACAATTCACTAGTAACTAAGAAATGGTAACTCGATTCTATGGTGGGGTACCTTTTCATAGATGACAATTGACATAGTCGATATCTACTCTTCCCACATTGGTGTCCTTCGGACGTGATGTGAACACACCTACCTTGGCAAAAACGCCCACTTTTATCTAGATACGCTTACATCTGGATGGTCCACATTGAACAGTTGACTTGCTACTTGTAACTGCAACATTATCCACCTCCTCGCACTGTTGCTACTCAGTCTCGAGCACACAACGTCGGCCTGCATACACTCGACTGCTAAAGGCAATATAGGAGCGACTACGATGACAATTGACATAGTCGATAATCTTTTCATAGATGACAATTGACATAGTCGATATCTACTCTTCCCACATTGGTGTCCTTTGGACGTGATGTGAACACACCTACCTTGGCAAAAACGCTCACTTTTATCTGGATACGCTTACATCTGGATGGTCCACATTGAACAGTTGACTTGCTACTTGTAACTGCAACATTATCCACCTCCTCGCACTGTTGCTACTCAGTCTCGAGCACACAACATCGGCCTGCATACACTTGACTGCTAAAGGCAATATAGGAGCGACTACGATGACAATTGACATAGCCGATAGTCTTTTCATAGATGACAATTGACATAGTCGATATCTACTCTTCCCACATTGGTGTCCTTCGGACGTGATGTGAACACACCTACCTTGGCAAAAACGCCCACTTTTATCTGGATACGCTTACATCTGGATGGTCCACATTGAACAGTTGACTTGCTACTTGTGACTGCAACATTATCCACCTCCTCGCACTGTTGCTACTCAGTCTCGAGCACACAACGTCGTCCTGCATACACTCGACTGCTAAAGGCAATACAGGAGCGACTACGATGACAATTGACATAGTCGATAGTCTTTTCATAGATGACAATTGACATAGTCGATATCTACTCTTCCCACATTGGTGTCCTTCGGACGTGATGTGAACACACCTACCTTGGCAAAAACGTCCACTTTTATCTGGATTTGCTTACATCTGGATGGTCCACATTGAACAGTTGACTTGCTACTTGTAACTGCAACATTATCCACCTCCTCGCACTGTTGCTACTCAGTCTCGAGCACACAACGTCGGCCTGCATACACTCGACTGCTAAAGGCAATATAGGAGCGACTACGACCGTGAAGTTAATAACACCTCTCACATTCAGCACTAAAAAAGTACGGTGATCTTAATACAGCTCTCCCGGCTTTGCACGAAAGCAGCAATGATTCAACTAGTGGTATCCATTCATCGAATTCTATCGCAGATATAATTCTGGTGGGGGAGTACTGTAGCGTATCTACCACTACAAAATCATAACTACAATTCACTAGTATATAAGACATGTTAACTCGATTCTATGGTGGGGTACCTTTTCATAGATGACAGTTGACATAGTCGATATCTACTCTTCCCGCAACTGTATAATTTGGTTTCATTAACCAGAATTATGATTTTTTCCCCCAAAACTATCAAACTATCATTATTATTATAAGGTTCTAGTAAAATTACCTTATGGTAAAACGGTAATTATAGCAGAATTTTTTCTCATTGTGTAAATAAACTGCAACATACATAATTTTAAGTGAGCAACATACACACTTTTCTAACATACACACTTCTAACATAAGCAACATACACACTTTTTCTAAAATAAAAATTGTTATAAAATAAGATTTAATTCGTTACAACTGATAAATATTGGTTCCACTCTAAAAAAAGACAGTCGTAGTGATCTCTTCGAGCTAAAAAGGTATTTATGGAAAACCATTGCGTTAATTAGAAGTAAAACTATGCATTAAAGGTTAAAACCGTTGATATTAAGCAACATTTCTCGCAAGGGAGCTCTTGGCGCCGCATTTGTTTTGTCCAGACAGAGTAAATATGCAAAGATGAGGAGCATCTCATTACCCTCAAGATGAAACGAACGCTCAAGTATCATTTTATGATAGCAGGTAAGTGATATCGATATGACTTTTAAAATTGCTTATTTGTTTCTCTATATTGCAACAGTTGTTACAACTTTAGTTGTCTTTTTGTAATAATTTTATTTCTGAAAGCAACATTATAATTAGGTCACATTATTAAAACTGAAAATTTCCAAACATTTGATTTTATGATAACTGTCGAGACAGTTTGGAATAAGTAATATATATATATGTATATATATATATTTTAAAAAGGTAATTGAATATTTCTAAGCTGTCCGAAATATTAAACGACTTTATATACTCTAAATTTTAAATAAAATTAATATAATTTACTATAGTTATAGTTACTTTTATACGAAATCATTGTATTTTTTTCTATATAAATTACATATTCTGTTAATTTATTGTAATGCTATTCTACTAATTTATTGTGTTGTAATTGTGACAATGATTAACGGCCAGCACTGCAAAAAAACATTTTAAAAGAAGTTTAATGTTAAAGTGAAAAAAAATTTATTTTCTTATTATTGTTATAAAATATTTATCTTTATTCTTTTAAACCTTTTTTTATACATTTACTTAAATTTTAATGAAAACTTAATTATTCTCTAATAAATTACAAAAATAAGAAAGATCATTACAAAAGAGTTTACAAAAATAAGTACAAAACTTTTTTTGTTAATGTATTTGAGTATTGTATTTGCGATTAAAGTTATCAATTGAAATAGGCTGATTTACAAAATAAGGACAAATCAAGCGTTTTCTGGATAAGGCATTAAGTTGCATTGAGGTTTCTTACCCAATAATAGACAGAAGTGCATGAAAACTTTTTTTAAATTTTTTTCATCGTATTAGGTGCTACAAATTAATTCTAATTAAAAATAGAAGTTAATTAGAAGAGTCGGCAAGTAAAAAGAAATATATTTCTCAAGTTAAGGGAAATAAAAACAGTCAGCGTATTCACATTTCAGATCACTAGCTACTAAATATGAAGTCTGTTTTCTTGTAAAAACATTTTAATTGATTGATTGCTTTCGCTTGAAAACACTTTGATTGGTCGATTGCACTTTTTGTTATTTCTCCAGAGTTACCTCTATAACCACCTTTGTCTTCGAAGTTTCTTCAAGATGCGGCTAAAGGAACTTTTCACGGTATTTTTAGAATAAAGCAAGTCAACGAAGATCTGCTTTTATTATATATCCAGAAAAAGTTAATATTCTCACGTGGTCTCTTTCAAACACAGAAGAGGACCGTGGTATGACTCAGACTTTCGATGATGATTAATGCTGTTTTTCGAAAGCTCTTCGTCACTTTTTAGCAACTATGCACAGTTTCCAATGAATTAGAAACCTTAGATAAGTATTTTTTAGTTCGTATTCGTGAGGGCATCGATTCTACAGGAGTATATTTCTTTCCGGAGTGAATTTATGTTCAGAAAATTCCATGTATTGCATTTTGGCTGCAGATTCTACAGGAGTATATTTCATTCCGGAGTGAATTTATGTTCAGAAAATTCCAGGTATTGCATAAGTTGGCTGCAGATTCTGGAGGAGTACATTTCTTTCCGGAGTGAATTTAGGTTCAGAAAATAACCAGGTATTGCATAAGTTGGTGCAGATTCTAGAGCAGTACATTTCTTTAGGATTTAGGCTTTAGGATTCTGTACATTAAAAGGACGAGGAGATTATTATCGGATGTGCCTTTTGGATATGTCGCAAATATATTTTTATTAGATTAAGACCCGGATTAGCCAAGGAAAGTGTTGGACGTCAGATAGATGTTCATTGAACCAATCTTGTACGCATCTGGCGCGATGTGCTGTTGCATTATCGTCCATGAAGTATCCGTCACCTTCGGAGTAAAAATAAAGCATTCTAGGATGTATTTGATTTGCTGGTGTGTACAGGGGTAGTATGGCTTTTTTTTTACCCTTGAGAAATACCAAGGCTATACCAGAGATGAGACAGTCCGAGTCAGGGCTCGTTTACCGTAAAAAGGTTTCGGGTGAGCTCGGATTCATGATAAATTTTCATAAACTTCTTTCAAACAAATGTTTGATTCATTTATTAAGTATAAAGAATTTATACGGTATAAAAATATATAGTGCTTTCGCTTAGGTACTTGGTTCGGTGCTTTTGTTTAGGGAAACTAGCACTAATTGTCAAATGAGTTTTATTTAGCTTAATAATTTTTTTTTGTTTTAGTTAGAGAGTGAACACTATGTTAGAATGTTAATCATAACGAAGGGTATAATTGGCAGGATTTAAAAAATAAACATTTGAACTTTAAAAAAGTGTTTAACCTAGAGAACACTGAATGTGTGACTCAATACGAAGAAATAAATGACATGTAATTTTACTTTTTGACGAAAGTTATGGCAATTCAAATAGATAACGGTGCTTATCATTCTTTATTAAGTTTTTCTTTCATCTTTAAAAATTTCATTATGAATATTAAGATTTTTATTTGGGAACATGTAATCTATCTCCCCTCTCTTTCCTTTTTGCTACTTTTGATTAACATCTATTGGAGCGTGAGCTTATAAAATAAAGATCTCGTGTGGGAAAAATAAATTTTCTGCAACAAAGGATAAATGGTTAATATTTGGAGCAAAAAATGCTGAAAAAATCATGAAAAAGAATTAAAATTTGCAATAACTTCTCGAAAAAATTGGAGTTCAGAAACAAAATTTGCAAAAAAAATAAAAAATAAATAAAATAAGTTCACAAATTAAAACGGGTCTTTCAGCTCTTCAAATTTTAACTCAATGGTTTCATTTCAACGGGTCACGCATTGACCGAACATGGTATTTCTTTGCTTAAAATTTTAACAGTTAATAATTCTAGGACTAATTGTCGAATCTTTTTTTTTAAAATTCCGCTATACTCCCTATAGTTTTTTTCTACTTACTTTTGTAATATCAAATTTTAAAGTTTTAATAGATTTTGTATAGCAAAGCAAACTTCAACGTAAAGCAAAAAAAAAGTGATAAAAAAATTCGTCAAAAAGCACTTACAACTTTTGAACAATTTGAAAATTTTAGAAAAATCTTTGTGTTGAGTTCATAAATAAATAGCGCTCTTATAGCATATTAAATTTCAATTGTGAACTTGCATTCCTGCGAGCTATAGAGTGGCCCGTAGGATTTTTTTTCTTACAGGCTTAACAATAATTATTTCTTGAACTAATTAATAAATGTTAATTCTTTTTCTTTCATTTTACTATCTGTACATTTTTATAGAACTTTGCAGTTTAAAATTTCCAAGTTTTACAGTTTTACGCAACAAAACAAAATTTAATGTTAAGTTGAACACCCGAAAGGCGACGTTGGCCGGCCTTATGACTTTTTGAAATAGAGAGAAGCAATGATATTAACTGTAATTAATAAACTCAAAGTAAAATATGATTTTACTATTTCCACTTTTAAAAATTCTCTTTTTATAACAATGCGTTAAAGAAAAATATGCAATTTTGAGATAAGGACGCGCTAGCTGTAAATTTAAACAATCTGAAAACCAGTGAAATGAAGTTTTATGTCCTTATAGGCTTTTTCTTATTCATAAATTTCTTTTTGAATAATCGGTTTAACTTGAAATCAACTTTAAGTTGCTTTTTTTAATGAAAGAACTGTCTATTTTTGTGTTTATAGGTTTTCTCCTGGTTATAGTAACAAAAAATGTATCTTGTAGACCGAAAGGAAAAGGAGGAAGTTCGAATATTGGAAACAGTATGTAAGTAAACCCATTTAAAAAAGGGTTCATTCAATTTCCTCAGAAAAATTTAAGTAGATGAAACTTGAGGAATTTATGAAAAAACTGTAAACAACTTACTATAAATTATGCGAAATTTCTTTTAATGGGAAACGCCATGGCTTACTTTTTTCAAACACACTATTCTTTTTCGCCCTGGAGCAGTAACCATTAAAAGAGAGGGCATACTAACCAAGAATATTTAAATTTTTATTTTGTTTTTCCTGCCCTATCATACTTCTTGAAACTTTTTCCAATACCCCTGGATAAATCTGTCTCTAATTTCATTACAAATTAAAACTCCCATTCAAAGTGACAGGGACAAACAAAATTGACCCTTAAATAGAGTGTGTGTCTTATTTCTATGTGTCCCTTAGAGTAGAGGACAAACATGTTAATTTGCCACTGTGTTAATTCGTGAAATTATTATTTTCTTTTATGCGAATTGATCTGTATGCAAAAACAGTTTACTCCAAATTCACGAAATTTCGCTCATTTTTGAATAAATTGTTTTCTGGAAAATTTTCCAAGTGAATATTTTCTCAAAATGAGGACATTTTTATTTACTCACTATTGAAGATACGAATTTAATCAAAAGCTAAATAACCCTATACACATTGTTAAAGAAATGCAATATAAAATAAGTATTAGTGAATAAATATTCTGTTAGCGCCTAAGTTCTAACCTAGGAAACTGTTTTAAAACCAGATTAAAAAAATGTTCCATACAAATTCAACGAATGAGGTTAACACGCGTTGAATTTCCATCGAGCATTTTTTAAAAACAAATTGCTCGAACATAAGTAGTGCACTGTTAGAAATTTTTCAGAAAAAAATTGTTAAATAACAATTTATTTAATTGCTATTTTACGGTATTCAAACAAAATAGTCAAATCACAATAAATTAGATTTTGATCATACTGTTAAATATGAGGGAAAAAAACGTTTATTGACCGCTTTAACCTAATACGGTTAAACAGTCAGAATTTTATCACATTAACTAGGCCCACCTAATTATGTCACTACATTCCTTGCAGCTGTGTATATATTGTAGCGGAGGGAGCTAATCTTTTAATCTCATGAGCAAAAGAACGAGGGTTCGAATCCCAGCGTTAACACTACAATATTTCTCCATTCCCTTCAACACATAAAGAGTTCCTATTGCTCAACACTTACAATTTGTTACCCTGAACGGATAGAATACGATACTCTAATTCACACATAGATGGCAGCACAACAAAGCTGCTTAGCACAAAATGTCGATTATTTTTCATTGCTTATAAACAACCAGATAAACTAATTAAGCCACATTCCACGGTATATTTAATAAAATGCAACTCAACCGCAACCTAACTCTAATGCACATTACCTAACGAAAAGCCTAACTGCAATGTACAGTTAAATTACTTTTTTGCGGGTTTGAAACCATGCTAGTTGTGAATGGTTGAAAAACCACGTAGTTTTGTAATGATGGTTTTTTAACCATATTAATTCTAAGCGGTTTCAATACCGTTAGAGTAAAAAAAAATTTTACCGTAAAATTTGTGGTTAGTTTGCAGGACAGACTACTGCCAGTTATTTTATGGTAATTTTGGAATGAAAATTCTAACAGTGTAAACGTCTGTCATCAGATTTAAACTTTATTTTTCTTTTCATTGACTAACTAGCCATTCTGATATCTGAAGGATATTTTGATACTAAATTTCAATTTCTGATACCTACCATTTGTTAAATGCAAGTGATAAACTTTCTTAATCTTCATTAATTTTTTTAAAAAGTAAATAAATTAATTAAAAAGCAAATATTGTTACGTTCTTTTACTTCGAAAAGATCAGTATATTTTTGCATGAAAGAGAAATATCAATATCTATATATGTATTTCTCTTACACGGTGACAAAAAAAAAGCCTCATTACATCTCCCCGATGGCAACGCTAGAAAATCGACCAATGATTGCCGCTAAAAATGTCACATGTCTAATCTAGCTGAGGTGGCTCAACGTATAGCGCTTTTAAAAACGGAAACTGAAATAACCTTAAACTAGGCAGAAGTGAGTAGTCTTTGTCGATAGATCTCTATTTTAGTATTTTGTCGAAGGCGCTTTTTTCATGAATTTATATATTACGAATTTATTTGACGATTTTTGATTTATGTCACGAATTTATTTGTTTTATTATTGTTATTAGTTATTCATTGAAAAATGAGTCTAAGTCGTGCTGTTACGCTTTAAGATTTTATACTATAGCACATTTCTAATAGGTTTAACGAATTACATGTCATTTATTTGATTTCAAATTTATTTTAATGACTCAGTATTTACTAAAAAGATGTAATTTTTTTTTAAAAAAAAGTTGTTATATGGATTTAAATGATTGTTTTAAATTCTTAGAATTTTGTGTATTTGCAATGTACCTAAGTTAGTAGCGAGCGAAGCGAGCTTGGCTTGCGAAGCAAACCATATAAGATTGCGTAGCAATTTGCGGGGGTTGGCGAGTGTTAGCGAGCAGGGGGCGCAGCCCACTAGTTTATTTTAAAATGTTACTACCGTATATGTCACACTTGACAATAACTTAAGCCTTATTAACTAGCCGTCCGAGTATTGAAAATTTCCGTCAATTTCGGTCAATATACGAGCATATTGCTTTTTTTTTTTTTACCATTCAGCAATTTATGAGTTGCATTTCATTATTTTTGACAATAATTTCACGACGAAAATCCCGTAATTAATGATGAAACTGTTTTCTGACTAGAGTGGCAGCTCAGTGTTTTCTTTATTAGTTCACTAACATATATTATTTGATTTCAAAATCGTATTTACCGTATAACGAAATGAAACAAATGTCAATGAACTTGACCGCTAGAAGTACCCAGACTGCCAGAGTAGCCACGTTTATATCTGGGTGAGGAAAAGTTACTCCTGTAGTCTTATTCTTTTTATTTCACTTTGAGCAATCTTATAAATTGTATCAATGATTCGTTCAATTAAGCCTAAAGAATCTGACGAAATTCGTATCTTCAAACCAGCAATATGACAAAATGATCGCTTAAAGCATTTTTCAGGCAACGTTTTTATCAAAAACGCGGAAAATTACGTGAATTTACGAAATTCAGTTTCTTACAGTGATAATTTGAAAGATTCAAAACTATCAGTAAAATGCTTTCTTTTTTTAAATTTATATTTTACTTCTAATGGGTGAGCGAAACCCACCAATTATTATGAGTCATACTTAAAATTTCAATCATAATGACTACTTTTCTGACAAAAAACTAACGACATTGTTTGTCATTGTTCCTTACGTAAAGAACGGGATATTTCAATTGAGAAATTTTCTTCAAGTTTTAGAATTTATACTTTGCATTCATTTTTGTAAGTAGGTGTTTTCTCTTTCACAAAAGTTGCGATGGTATTTTATTAGAAGTAGATTTAAATTTTTGAGTATTTATTCTTATTCTTCGTTTTTTAGCAAAGGAATAGGCAGAAGTACAAGGACAAACGGAATAGTTAGATCAGGTAATTTTAAAGAATCTAATCATTTAAAGTAGTATTTTTAGTGAAACGTTAAAAGTAATTTTTTTCAGTGTGGAAGTTATTGTAAACTGCACCCATACATACACACGCAAAAATCATAAATGAATAACTTTTGACACATTGATGCGCACTAAAATTCAATCTTATTATCTAATAAAATAGATTAAAAAAAGAGAAAATATTTCCTATTTTCATCAGAGCAAAAACAAAAATCTAGAGTGCATCACATTCAATAAACATTGGAGATCAATTTCCAAAGGTGATAGAATTTTATTACGAATGTCCCATAACTACAACTCAGACAATTTTGATCTAACAATTTTGATTTCACGGTTATTGTGATTAATCTCAATAAGGATGCATAAAATGAGGAATATTTATTGAGAAACCATATACTGTACAATACAACCACGCGATACGGAAAGAACGAGCTTTCCTTCATCAGGGAATTTAAGTTGCAATGGTGGAAAAAAGGACGGTGAATGAAGGGGGAAATTCAACCGAAACCGGAAGAAGAAAGGAAGTGAATGTAATCAAAAAGAAATAAATTACAAAAATATGGAGTCAAGAGAAGAAATGGAAAAAAATAAATAAAATCAGGAGCACCAATCAGTTGTAAAAAGAAGAAGCCACCATTTTTTCATATACGCTTTGTCCTAGTATAACTCTGTATATAAAGACTTAAAAAGAATTAATATTCATATGCTTCATAACGATAATGTTTGTATCCTTCCACATTAAAATATTAATCTGTGACCCCTGATTTGTACCTTCTTAGAATTTCCATTTTGACAATGATTTTTGAAGCAAGTATTAATCTTTTAAAAATATAAAACAATTCTACTGAGAGTTTAATCAATATTCTACAACGTAGAAAATTTCGGATCAAATTACGGTAAAAAGTACTGGCACTCACCATGCCGGTACTTTTTACCGTAAAATCCATTTTTACCGGAGCATGTTACGGAACAAAGAATTTGATATATCTAAATTTTTACAACAGTAATTACCGAAAAACTACTGAATTACTCTAATTAAATAAATATTACTGAGGAAAAGGTATAATATTTGACGGTAAAAATGGATTTTACGATAAAGTGGGTTTTACGGATGATGCATCCAAAGTATCCATTATACCAGAATTTCATCCGGAATTTTTGACATTCTAATGAGTGATTTAAACGATGCTGTAAAATTCTTTTTGTTTGTAAAATATTGAATTATTTCTGAAACATACCTGAGACTTTTTTCTGGCTGTGTATGAAAGTATTTTAAAACGATCTTAACATAATTTAAATTTTTTTCTGCAAGTAATTTAATTTTACCTTACAGTCAATAAAACATTAAAACTTTATTTTTTTTCTAAATTACAGTAACCTGGAATAAATGCTAATCACGTCTTCTACATCGTTTTATGAATCTAATAGATTTTTTTCCCATTTCAGGATCTGGAGAAGTATCAGAGATATTTTTTATAATAGGAGGAGTTGTGTTTTTCTTTGTGGTTTTGCTATGTTGTTTTTGCTTAAAAATGTCGTGTGATAATACGAGTGAAGAAGGACAGATTTGTGATAAAGACTCAGAACTCATGGATTGAAAATTTTTGTGCATTATCTGTTCTCGCAATTCGCTCGAAGGATAAAATTTTCCAACCTATATTTACCCATCCTTTTAGCTTTCTAACGAAACTGTAGTGAATACGATACATCATTGGAATATTTACTTTAAAACAAGAATTTAAAGACAAATGCTTTCCTGCGATAATTTTCAAGGAAATTAAGACTATTTTATTTTAATTTATCGTCGGTGTTAAACAACATATCGATATGAGTTATGTAGCTATACTTGTTGGGAGGTGACCACTCCATCCCCTGAGCAACTCGGTCTACATTATGACTTTTGAAAATTTTGAAACTAAGGCATACTATGCACTAACATAAAAATTGGGTTTCAGAATTTGGCAGAAATTTGGATTCCATTTGAATTATCCAGAAATTTAGTACGCGTAAATTTAATTATACTATATTAGTGAAATTTAAAACATCTTATCATGGAAGCAAAGCATTAAAACCTATAAATAAAGGATTTAAATCTAGCAGTATAGAAATAATGCACCTGCTTTCTTTGCATCGGTTCCATTAAGATTTGTGCGCACATGTGTAGTTAGAACTCAAATTTGATGTAGTATTTTTCGCTTTTAAACATAACCATTAAGATGACATGTAGTAATTCATTTCTAAACTTTTAATTACCTCTACTGAAAGTTATGAAATTATTATTATAGCGAAATTTATCTTGAAATAAACTTTCCAACTGGCCAAAGAATTAGAAATCTTAGATTGATATTTTTGGATCTTCTTTTGCACGATAACTGCCCATATTCGAGAGGGCATGGATTCTGCAAGTTTCTGGAATACATTTATGGCTAGAAATATTATCTACACAGACTTCGAAATTCTGTAAATTGGATACTTGCTGCTCAAGAAGAAGTAAAGTGATTACTCCTAACCATGTGATTTAATTTAATAGTTATAAGCGACGTCAGGCATGGATATTAAACCTGATTAGCCCTAGAATCGAAAAATGCCATGTTTTGCATATATCCAATTATATGGAAAAGTAGACTACTGTTGGAGGTCGGTTCAAAATGCTTTTTACAAAATATTTAACCCTGCATTTTATTTATTTTTAGAGAAACAAGAGTATCGAGCTTATTTAAATTATTAAGTAAATTAACAAATCTCTATAATCTATAAGATGTGTTTATTTCGTAACAATTATAATTGGAAAATGGAAGAAATATTTCTGCAGATTTTAAAAAGAAACAATTTATAAAAATGCATGCACATGTCTACGCAAAAAATGAATTAAATAAGTATATATTATATAAGGATTTATACACATAAATGTTGTTTTAACTCAAGCTTACTAACTTCGAAGTATTTTTCATATTATAACATTGTGGTCATAATAAACCTTTAGTTAGATTTATTTAATTCCTGATACCGTAAGGTATAAATCAATTTTTTTTTTAAAAAAGTTGCCTTAAATTGTACTTTTCAATAACTTAGCCTGTTTGAACTTGAAGAATTGTAAAAAATTGACTGAATTAAGCAATCTTTAGTAGTTTTTATTGAGCATGTGAATTAAAATTATACTTTCCGAAACATTTAACCGTTGCTAGTCCTTATATAATTTTTAAGGTAAGTATTAAACTCTACTAAATTATTAAGTAAATCAATTCTCTATGATACGTAAGATGTAACTATTGTATTTGGGCGACGGAAGAAGTTTTCTTCACATTTTAGAAGATAAGAATATTATAATATTTTTCAAATAAATATGTATTAAGCAAGCATTATAAATATCAAGAGAGTGTTATACTTCGAACCAACTTTTTCATTTTTCAGATACAAGATACAATTCTGTTTTTGTTCACAATTTGTCATAATATGCTTTAATTTATTGTCATTTATTAAGTTTTACATCTTTATCAAGTGATTATACAATACCATCTCATAAAAAAGAGCAGTTTTACACTTGTCAGACTTTGGTATGAGCTTTTGATATTCAAATATGAGCTTCGTGGTAGACATGATTTACTTAATTCCATTTTAACTTTTAAAAAAATATGCAAATTGAAATTGCCAGATGAGTTTTGAATACATGTTTATAATATAATTTCATTTGTGGGTTTTTACTACTATCATATATTTCAAATATGTAGTTTGTGTTTAATGATTTGCAAATAAATGATTATTCGGATCCTCGTTAGAAAGATATAATTACTATGGTAATATGTTCTTTAAAACGTTTACACTTTATTTATTAATTACTGTAAAATTATACATAACAGAAAGTGGTAATATCAGTGGAAAGAATTAGAAGAATCTGTCATTGACGTTTGATACTTTTCACGCTATCCTAACGAGCTTTTTAAATTTTCCTGACAATTTATTACAAATTTTTGTGTATGTCTTTTTTTAAAAATTTTAATTGAAGTATTCCTGAACTATTGATATAATTACGCTTCAGATGTGCTTAAAAAATAAATATTTTAACATAAAAAAATATTGTTTCTTTTTTCTTCTTTTTACTCATTAAATCTAAGTACGTGTAACATTCAAAATTTTTTGCTGCAATTTATAAAATGATTGTTTTAACAAATTAAAAACTGAAAAATTCAAGTTACTGTAATGAAGCGCTTTTTAATTCAAAAATTGTCCCTTATTACAAATAGGTATAAAATTATTTTTAACTAAAAATTATTCGATATAACTTAAAACAAAATGAAAAATTTCAAATGAACGGGAATGTTATGAAAATAGGATCGTCTAATTATGTATCATTCATATTGGAAGATTGAACAAAATCAAATTTAAATAACTAAATTAAAATAATCTGTAAACAACTTCAAATAATGTAAAAAAAGTTTTAAAAAAAGGGGGTTGCAATTTTTTCCCCTGAAGTATGAATACATTTCTTTGTCTTTTACAACATATAATATTTTACCAAGTAAAATTCACACAATTTGAAGTACTAAAACATTTAAAGATGCATAATGACATGATAATAGATGTTTGAGGTAATTATTTGTTTATAGCATTTCACGACTATCACAAACGTCATAAAAGAACAGTTCATCAAGCAACGCGAATTTAAAAAAATCCAAATTTTAAAAAAAATAATAAAAAAACAGGAAAAGCACAATCAAAATTTTTCCATTTTCGTTTCAATTGTCACCAGATTATAATGAAGTATGGAGGCATTTTTTTTTTTTAAGATTGATTTCTGCTCAAAAATCTAATCTTAAAATCTTCTGGTCTTAGTGATAATGCAAAATGTGAGTTAAAGGTGGGTTTATAACCTTCGGGAAAAGCAGCATTAAACCTTTGCAAAATTGTCGCAAAATAGAGAAAAATCTCCATGTAAGCCATGGTTTCTCCTGGACAGGATCTTTTACCTGAAAGTTTATAGAAAAAATTATAATACTGTATAACATTAAATGAACTATAATTTCAAAAACTACGCAATGGTTTTTCTAAACATTTTTCATAATATATTTTGCTGCCAATACCTTGAAAAGTAGATATTTTCACAATTTTTTTTCTGAATTCGTAAAATCTCAAAATTAAAATAGTTTTAACACACATCTTGTAAGGTGCTTAAATACTTTGTCAATTTTTTTAATTATTAAAAGAATATTTCGTAGAATCATGGAAATTATTGAATTGGTTTTTCGAAAAGCATTTAAAAATAAAATTAATAAACTTACCCATGGAAAAAGGCATGTAGTTCGGAGGCTTAACAACAGATTTTCCATCTTCTGATATAAATCTTTCTGGTTTAAAGCTGTTAGGATCTTCCCAATATCTAGTATCATGATGAACGGCCCAAAAATTAGCCAAAATAGCAGTATTACGAGGTATGAAATAATCTTTCAGAGTAGCATCCACTGTAGTGCTATAAATAAATAAAATAAAAAAATTTGATCTGAAACATACGTTTACCCTAAATAATGAAACTAAAAAACCCACCTAGATACCAAATAGAGAACTCAAATAAAATTATATAGGTTTTCTGATTTGCTGAAAAACGCTTTCTCAAAATTGAGAAAAAAATTTCAAAACAGTTCCGAAACAAGTAATAGTGAGAAATGATTGTTGTCTGCAGGCGGAATTCGAACCAAAGATCTCCAGGATCATTGTAGGGTGCTTTAAACACCATAGCAACACTCTCCAGTCCAGGAGAGTAGGGAAGTTTTATAGACTGACACATCATGGATATACTTATTGTCAAATTCTATGGTACAATGAGCTACAATTTGGAAAATATGGTTCCAATAATTTAGTCAGAATATTTGTAATTTTAATTTCATTTTTTTGCTTATTTCGCTACATCTTAAAAACTTTTAAGCGAGTCGAATGTATGTTATGATGCATCATTGCGACTAGCAATATATTAAGCTTCCTAACTCTCTCGGGTCTGGGGTGTACAACTATTGTGGTTAGAGCATCCTAATACGAGCCCAGAGGTTCTTCTTTCTAAATCCTCCTACCAGTCAACGTACATCTCTCACATATTTGTCCCTCTACACAATTTGCTGGAAAATGAGTAGGGGAGAGTCGGGTAGCACCGTCCACTTAAGGAATATTGCTTATATTTCTGTACAATATTGAGTAATAATCAATATTTTTGTATGTTTCTATTGTTTTTCCATCCAATTAAATAATGCAAAAAGAATAAACCAAAAAAAGAATACTTTAACTTAAAAAAATAGAAATTAAAAAAAAACATGTTTTTCAGCTCTTTTCAAAATGTGTCGGGTAGCCCCGCCCAGTTACAAAAATTAGGTTTTTTGACTGTTTTTTCAGGTGTAAATGAAAGTGACCAATGTATTGACAATAGATAAACCTCATTTATCATTTTTATCACAAAATTATTTTATTTATTACATATTTATATACTTTTAGTGAATTCTATCATTTAATAACAATAATTTAATAACAACAATATTTGTTGTTAAAAATGCATATAACATTCAAATTTGAAGCAATAAAATAATAAATCTTTGCAACCGTACATTTATCGACGAAATAAAATTGGGCGGTGATACCCGACATTCATGTGAGCGGTGCTACCCGAAATCCAATTTTTTTGTAAATTTGTAATTACTCGAACATTTTTTCACGTATAAACTTCTTTCTTCGTGCAAATTAAACTTAAGACTACATACTTTAATGCTGTATGTATAGAAAAAATTTTTTTGGTATTAAAATGAAGTTTAATCGAAACATTCAACCAATTTTTCTTAATTTCATGACTACTGTATTCAACATATTTTCAAAACTATGGTTTACCATGTTAACAGCTGCGTAAATACTTGAAATTTTGAAAATAATCTTCTTTTAATATAACAATTAATGTCCGATGGCTCATTGACTTGAAAAAATATTCTATACATATGAAATTGACTGTGGGTGGGGCTACCCGAATCTCCCCTATATCTTGTTTCAATTTTTAATACGTGGGACTTCAAATGACACTATTATGTGTTTCAGAGCTATTTTACAAATTTTATCTCAATTTTAAGAAATGCAGTCGCACAGTATAGTTTCAGTTGTGTGTTTCAATTGTAGTTTCGATTATAATTTCAACAGTATTGTTTCACAGTGCATTTTCTAAATTTTCATATTGTATCAAAATTTATTAAATAAATAACGTAAGTTAAAATTTTAAGTTCTGAGCCTGGATCTTAAGCAACAAATTATTTAAAAAAGAAAAATTCTTATAAAACATTAAATAATAGATTAAATACCACTTTAAAAATAATTGAGCGTAGATAAATTCTTCATAATTATGGAATGGTATAAAATCAACAGTATTATTTGTATGAAAAGTGTCCTGAAACTGAGTACAGTTCAAAAAATAAGTATTATAATGAACAATTAGCGAAAAAAGCGATAAACGATATATTTTTAGTGAAAGCTATTGTAATTTTTGTCCAAGTTTTAAAATTAGTTACAAAAGTTGTTATAATATCAATGAGGAGTCCTTATAAAGTTTGTTTCGAAATTTAAAGATTGTTCCGTATTTAGTTCAATCGTTGAAGTGTGGAAAAGATTGTGTCTCAAAGGCAGCAAAGTATATTTCGTGAAAATTTAATTTAAAACTGAAAGACTAAATTCCTTCTTCTTAATATATAATGAAAAGTACATTTTACTACACACATAGAAGAAGCACGTTCTGTTAATTTGTATAAAAATTTTAAGAAAGCTATTGTTTGAAAAATTTTAAAAATACAGATACTTACTAATGTAAGAAGTTCAATGGAGCAATTGTTATAAAACGTAAGACTTCTAAGATGGTTGCATGTGTGAATGGCATTGATTTCTGATCCAATAATTCTGCCATCCTATCAGGTCCTATGACATCCATTATTTCTTTCTGCACCTTTTTCTGAAGTTGTGGATAAGCTGCCATGATGTAGACACACCACAAAACAGAAGTAAACACTGTTTCGCTTCCAGCTCCAAACATATCAGAAGCACTATCAGCTAGCGTATTTTCTGTCAGAAAATTAAAAATTAATATTTTTTTTTATAAATGAAATCAGAAATTTAAAACTGATATTAAAGAAGACCTCTGCTTTGGATGCTTAAGATTATGCTTGCATTGGAAAATACATTTATGGAAGGAACAATAAAAAACATTTGTGTTTATACTCTTAAATATTTGTACTTATTCTTAACAAGACACTTTTCGGGCAGTGGTTGAAGATTTTAATTGACTAAATGGCAAATCTTAACTTTTTGGGGGCTTTTCAATTCATTTTTTCTGATTTACTTAAAAATTAACTTACATAGAACCTTTTCGGCCTGCGTTTGAAGTTTTTGATAAATTAAATGTTAATCTTTAGCTTGTAAGAAAACCCTTTTTCATAATGTGCCTGGAAACTACATCATAAATACTCATGGAGTTTAAATTGTGTATAATTAATTGAATATGTATAAATCAAAGTACAAAAAGAATAAACATCAGACCCTCTAAAACAAAAACATTAGTTAAAATTTAAAAAAGATTTATTCCAATCAACAGGGAGTCAGTGAAAAATGAACAGTCTCTTTCTCATTCATTTGAAATTAACCTTGTATTTAAATACCACTCATGAAAAATGTCTCAAAATTGCTATACAATAGAATAGTAGCCATGTAGAAACAAAAAAATTTTGAAATATTTACATTCGTTTTCAAAGCAAAAAAAATCATTCCTCAAAAAAAGTCATTTTTCCTAAATTATTTGAGTATTTATAAACATATTAAAATTCCTACCATTAAATGTTGTTTTAGGATCCTTGTCCTTCCGGGATTTCATCTCGATTAGATATCTATCTACGTAATCTCGGATGTTTTCAGGATCAAGAGTTTTTTTATGTTCTTCTATCATCTTACTGTTTAAAACACAAAAATAATGTATTTTTTCTGATTTTAAAAATATTCCAAATTATAGAAATTTGAAAGTTCATCCCTTGTTCATTTAATATCATCTAAAATACAATTATACTGAAACATACTGAAGACAAATATTCTGGCAAAGTTACTGTACTGTATGGAAATAACATTTCTGGCAAAAAAACCATAATTGCATATATTTATATGTTACCGTTAAAGTATGAAATCCGTTATTTTATAGAATACCTAGTTATTCTATGAAATAACTGATCGTGTCCGTTAAAGTGTAAAACTCTCTTGTATTTCATGGTTTAACTAGTTATTTCATGGAATAACGATCTGCAGCCCCGTTAAAGTGTAAAATGATCTATATCATATATCTCGCACGACAAATACATTTACCTTCCATCCCTACTGCATTTATAAACTATTATGAATGTTTTTGTTTTAGAAATAATGTTCTTTGTAATTCCAAGTGTCATTTTAGTAACCCTTGTTGCAGCAAGTGATTTTATGGTACGTTTCCATAAAAACCATTTACACGCTGCATAAAATAGATAAATTGCTTCTTTTTCATTTTAATTGTCCATCATTAGTTTATTTATAGAATACCTAGTTATTTCATTTTAGATAAATTGCTTATTTTACACTTTAATTGTCTCTCATTAGTTAATTTATAGAATACCTAGTTATTTCATAGAATAACTAGTTAAAGTGTCAAATTAATAACATATTACACACTTTAACGGACACGATCAGTTATTTCATGGAATAACTAGGTATTNATATATATATATATATATATATATATATATATATATATATATATATATATATATATATATATATATATATATATATATATATATATATATATATATATATATATATATATATATATATATATATATATATATATATATATATATATATATATATATATATATATATATATATATATATATATATATATATATATATATATATATATATATATATATATATATATATATATATATATTAAAACATAAAGTTCAAAATTCTGATAAACAAACTTTTATATGAACAGTAACTTTTATGTAATATTGAAAATAGTGTAATGAAACCGTATATCTTCCAAAATAACAAAGTAAAATCTTATAGTACTCGAATTAAAATTGCATAATACTAAAAATATATAAAACTAAAATTCCGTAGTACCTAAGTAAAAGGAAATAATACGCGAAGATCACATTATTTATATGTTCCTAGCATGACTTGGTTTCTAAAAATCCTCTTTAAAAAAATTATCTCAGCTTTTCAAGATCTGTAAAGCGTTTCAAAGCATTCAATTATAAAACGACGCAACATTATATAGCTCTTAACTATGAGCAACCAAACTTAATTTTAGTTATTAAGTCCTATTCAATAAGATGGCGGATCTATGGAAAGGATGATGTGATCCAGTTAAAAAGCTGACTTTTCGAATGTATACTGGCAACCGGAAAAGGAGAAGACAAAACATAAAGATGGATAGATTCTGAGGAAAAAGATTTTAAAAACCATGGGCATCAATAGACGGAGAAACCTAGCATATGATCGTGCCAGATGAGAACGACTACTTGGTATGGCTCTGGTATGTACTGGACTCCCACGGAAGAAGTTCTTTCCTTTTCGGTCTTTCCTTTGTAATACTTTTGTACTTGTAAATTTACCAAAAGCCAATTTATTAACTGAATTAGCAACATATTTTCTATAATAGAGATCCAATCCTTTATGAATCGTCATGATTAATTAAGTCTTTTATTTAACGGAAATGTTTCGAATATTGTTTTAAGCTAAATTTAAAAGAATAAAACATTATCCACGGTATTTTTACTACTTAGTTTAAAATATATCCGATAATAAAGTATTAAGTTTGCCCTATATATAAATTAAACTCACCGGAAAAGCTTATGACTGCTTTTAAAGCCATTAGCAACAATTTGGTATTTAGAGTCTTTGGAAAAATAAAGGTGCTTCATCCAAGGAAAGAGGTGCAAAAAGCCGAGTTCCTGGATATGTTTGTTGATATCTTCTGCATTCTTGTCTAGCAGCTTTCTGTCGGGATGGTCATAATCATGCCGGACACCAAACACCAAAGCTGTAATGTTGTTAGACATGCTTGGAGCTAAAGGCTCTTTGAGGTCCATTGGTTTCCCACCATGGGATTTCACGACTTCTATAAAGGCATTTATTTCATCCTGGATATGATTGAACAAAGAATTCCATTAATATTAACGGTAAATTTCAAATTAATAAGTAACAGAGTTTTAAAAATATGAAAGTTGAAAAGTTGCAATCTATTTAATAGCCGATCATGGACCATTGTTTAAGTTTCTTATTTTCGTAAACTCTATGTTTTTTTTTTAAATTTATTTTTGGAAAATCTTTGAGAAATCATTTGACATAACTGTACTCTTAAAAAAAAAAGTGGAAATTAAAGAAGTGGAAATTAAAGACAAGCTGTATAATATCAGTAATTTTCATATTCCATTTAATTTTGCACAACTGGTTGTGCAAAATTACTTACAATTAGACTAGTAAAAATGTACTTTCATTTTTGTTTCAACTGATAGAAAGCAATTTTCTAATAGCTAAAAAACTCTTTCAACATAAACTGCTCAAAAAACGAAAATATTTTTTAAATATATAAGTGCAAGAAATCATAAAATATTAAGTTTCCTTTCAAGAAATATAAATTCCAGATTTGTCTTGAAAAAATTTGGCAGGAAACTCTGCACTGAAATTATAAAATGCTCTAGATTGTTCTGATTCTGATCAACTATGACCTTGTATTTTACGTGTTTCTAAAGATACGACGGTAACTTACTGATACGGATAACGGCGGTAACGTGCGGATAAAGATACGGAGTAAATAAAAATGATGAAATTATGTGCAAAAATGAAATTAGGATTATTAAAATTATTTTTAACACCCCCATCAGCTTCTGCTCCTTCACGAGAAAAGAAGCTTCTTAAATAACGTTAGAGAAACATTAAACCATCAAAAATAAGCGAAGGTGTATCTGGGAAAAGACAAATCAGGGAATGAGCGTAATAATAAATGAGAAAACCAGAGCAGATTTGCGTAATCAGTAAATTTTGTTAAATTACGCATTTAAAATTTGACATAGTGATAGTTTGAAACACGATTAAGTTTACTGTCGACATAAGAACATTCTATACCAGGGCTGTCCAACTGCAAAGAGCCCACGGGCCAGAATTCCGGTCACTGATCACCTGGCGGGCCACAGTTTGAAAAAGTTGAACAATAACCTCTTACCTCTTATACAATAACAATTAATAGTTGAATTATTAATTATAAAACAATGGAACAGAAGGATTATAAAACAATTTGCTTACATTTTAATGGGAAAACTGAGACCGATCAGCCTGAATAAGAAGTTGGCGTGCCGCCAGTTGGATGGCCCTGCTCTATACCAAATCACTTGAATGGGGTGCACGAAAATGACCTTACTCTTATAATTCTCATTAATGCAATTAAAATTGATTGCAGATGATTCTTTTACTTAAGAAATAATATCCAAGACTTCAAATAGATTACAGTTCTATTTAATCATAAATGAGTGTCGCTGAGAGATTATATATTTCAGCAATTATTTATCCTTGTTTGTTAAAGCATGCTAACTCAATCAATGAGGGTAGTTCTTGAGGCATGCAGAAATAACATCACCGAATTATATATTTAAATGCTATTTGAAAGCACGTGTTTATTATAAATTGCCTATAGCCACGCTTTTGAAACATGTTTCGCTATAGCATTCCTTTTGGTGACAAAGTATATTACCTACAATTAACATTTCCTTAGATGAGATGAAACTCTAAAACGTATAAAGGCTAATTTCAAAATGTGAAGTCACAGGGAAGTATCTAATATAAATAATTCTCTTACGTGGCTCCCAAATTTTGGCTGCATTTCTTTTCCGCCGGTGGCAACGTTTGCTTTGTTTTGTTTACGTTACTATTTCTCTTACACGGCGAATCGACCAGTGATCGCCGCTAAAAATGTCACATGCCAAATCTAGCTGAGGTGGCTCAACATATAGCGCTTTTAAAAACGGAAACTGAAATAACCAGAGAGCATCAGCCGCGGCAATCTCATACTATTAAGCTAGGCAGAAATGAGTAGTCTTTGTCGATGGATCTCTATTTTAGTATTTTGTCGAAAGCGCTTTTTTCACGAATTTATTCATTACGAATTTATTTGACGATTTTTGATTTATATCACGAATTATACCATAGCACATTTCTAATAGGTTTAACGAATTACATGTCATTTATTTGAATTCAAATTTATTTTAATGACTTAGTATTTACTGAAAAGATGTAATTTTTTAAAAAAAAAAGTTTTTATATGGATTTGAATGATTGTTTTGAATTCTTAGAATTTGTGCATTTGCAATATACCTAAGTTAGTAGCGAGTGAAGCGAGCTTGGTCTGCGAAGCAAACCATATAAGATTGCGTAGCAATTTTCGGGGGTTGGCAAGCGTTAGCGATCAGGGGGCGCAGCCCACTAGTAAAAAATAATTATAAAAAATGAGGAAATTGTATACTAAGTGCCAATTCCGCAACATAATTTGTTACAAAGTTAAAAAAGAAATTGATTAGCACCGTGATGCTAAGACCGCTAAAAATGATTTCAAAAATGTCCCTTTAAATATTATCTTCGAGAAATTAAATTATTGTCACAAATCTTGACTTTTCGAGTTAATATTGCAAAATCTTTGTGTAATCAGATGGATAATTACTCATCTAAAATGTGTTTTAATAAATATAGTAATATTAAGTTACCGTTAAAGGCAAAAAAAAATTTACTTTCTAATTTCTAGTTCAGCAGAGAAAGTAATAAAATGACTAGAATGACTGTCCGGCTACCACAAGAACGTCTTCCGACACCATACTGATTTGCTATTGGTTACTATGTTTACGAAGATAATTAACTCGAAATAGGGGCGTGGAGTTAATCATTTTGCATTGGTTTAGGGTGGAGAAAGTCGTGTCACTTCTTTCATTCTCTTAAGTTAAAAATGTTTTTGCTCTTGTTTTTAAACTCAGAATTTCTATCGAGAGGAGTTCTCATGATAACTAGACAGTACTTGTCTCAGATAATTGAATATTGTTTATGTAGGTCACTTAATCAGCAATGTGCATTTTATTTTATTTATTATGCAACATCGTATTAAACATCTAGTATACTATAAATCAATTTTGGTACTTTGAAGTTGGCATACAAACTTTTACATGATCTTCTATTTTTGATTTTCCTAATCCCAAATCCTTCATAGATTGCACAACAAACTTTCTCTGTTCCTGCCACACATGAATAGGACTTGTGAAGAATGGACCTTAATTTTTTTAAAAAACAACATAGTATTTAGTATTTTAGAGTATTTAATATAATTTATCGTTTCTTAATAATAATCACCATCCTTGTTATTTATTTTAGAAACCTTCTAGAAAATAAAGTGAAAAAAAATTTAACACCAATATTAATATTTAAGCAAAAATAATTCCAAAGACAAATGAAAGTTTGGTCAAAACTACCAGAATATTGTATTTATGGCTCTTTGAGAACGCCAAAAATTTTGGTCATTTTTACCAGCGCACTCTTTGTAATGTTTTTGGTAAAATTAACAATAAAATATAGTTTTATAATGTGTGATAAGGCCGACCAGTCTGTGTAGGGGGCAGGGAACTGTCCTTGCATCAGAAAGGTTCTGGGTTCGAATCCCGGGCAAGGCATGGATGTTTCTTTCCCTCCTGTGTTCTATGTCCTTTCTCCTTTGTGTGTGAATGTGTGAATGTGACCCGCCCTATAAACGGGTTGTGGTAGTGTGACGTGGGCGACGCTGTTCCACCGCCGTGGCTTCGCCACAGGTGCCCACTGGGTAACGAAAAGAGAATTAGCAGTTCTGGCACTTTCTGTGGCCAATGGACAATAGCTCCAAGTGCCCGCCATTTAAAAAAAAAAATAAATAATGTGTGATAAAATTTGGTAAATGTGGTCAAATTTTGTAATTTTATAATTATACCTTAGACCATGGCATAAAAACTATTTCAGTTAAATTTATTTTTCGGTTTTGTATTTTTTGCTAAAAGTGTGGTAATAAGAACCATAATTTTAAAAACCAGAATTTCCTGTAAAAAGTTACCATATGAACGGAAAAATTACCAGATGAATCGCTTAACTACCGTATATAATTTTTTAAGCAGAATTATGTTGTTTTTTTTTCAACAGTGTAATTACCAAACAGCACAATAATTTTACCAGAATTTTGCTTTTTCCGTATTGGAATTACACATTTTACTACTGAAAAAAAAAAAACAATACTAAAACTTAAGCATATCTTAAAAAGTCAGTTTATTGGTTATGGAGGATCTGCAATTTCAAGACCAAAGGCACGTTGAAGGCAATGTGGCCACTTTCACTTTCCAGACAAGTTGGAACATCCGCTATCGAAATAACGAGCAAAAAACATCAAACATGTTGCATTTGCCAACTTGCTTGTGTAGGGGTTAGGGAACAGCCCTTGCAACAAAAAGGTTCCGGGTTCGAATCTCGGACAAGGCATGGATGTCCTCTGAAAGAGTGGCCAACAAATCTGCCCTTAGATCCCTGTATGATGCCCAAGTGGGTTTATTCATTGGGGAAAAAAATTTTGCAATATCGGAACAAACAGAAAGAAGGGGAACTGTGGTTAATTGAAGCAACTTCAAGTTTTATCAGACAATTAAACTGGTTTTTTATGATATTCAGAATCCTTTCTTCTTATAGTGTCTTGACTGATTTTGATTGCTTTTCTGATTTTCTCCAGAATAGATATTAATTTGCACCCCGTAATGTACTTTATTTTTGACAAGGATTCTAAAAATATATATCAAGGGCTGTGATTAGGGAACACTCAATCTATCTCCCAACAATATGTTTGTTTAGCATTATTGTGCAAATTTATATTTACTTTCTTTCTTAAAAGGTGTTAATGGACCGTATGGTGGCCGATTGAGGAATTCTGGTTTTAACAAGGCTTCTTTTATGGCATCAGCACTATTTAATATAACCCATCTTTCGGTGCCCATACTAATACTGAAAAAAAATTTGAAACATGAATTGTAAACATAAATTACATATTTAGTTGATTATTCAAATGTTTTATTAATATGCTTTGAATATTTTGAAATGTAACGTCTATTGACTTTTGCGGAATAAAAATATAACTAACAGTCCTCTAAAATATTTTTACGCTATAAATGATCTCAGCAAATTAACATAAATTTATATTAATAAATTTGAAAAATCAAGTAAATTATTTTGTTTCGTGTTATAAGAATAGGATATTCTATAAACATGAAACAAGTCGGACATTTCTGAAAATTTTGTAAAAAGAAAATAAAGATTTTTACATGAACATTTTTTCTTGAAATAAAATTATAATGAAAGTGATTGCAACAAGAAGACAATCACTTGCATGAGTCTTTTAAAATTGAAAGAACTATTCAAGAAAAGTCAAACTTTATTTCAAATGTTTTATTAATATGCTATGAATATTTTGACATGTAACGTCTATTGAATTTTGTGGAATAAAAATATAACTTACAGTCCTTTAAAATGCTTTACGCTATAAATAATCTCAGCAAATTAGCATAAATTTATATCAATAAATTTTAAAAATCATGTAAATTATTTTGTTTCATGTTATAGGATATTTTAAAAACATAAAACAAGTTGGACATTTCTGAAAATTTTGTAAAAAGAAAATAACATTTTTTACATGACCATTTTTGTTCTGAAATAAAATTATAATGAAAGTGATTGTAACAAGAATAATTATAGCTTTTAGAGTGTGAAATGCAAATTTTACATGCAAGATTATACATCAAAATTTCAATTAAGGAGAAATTCTGTCCACAGCGTGCTGACAGATGTAAGCAACTGCGGATAAACCTAACATTTTAAAAGACTCATAAAAGATAAATGTTAAAGATTTAAAATAAAATTTGACATTTATTCAGTATAAAGTATTATTCAGCATTTATTCAGTATTTGACATTTATTCATAAATAAGTGCATTTTATTAATGCAATAATAATAAATATATTTACTAATCGAAATAATGCATTTTCTAATAGCAAAAAAATAGATTGGTTTCGGAAAAGTCTACTTTCCTTAAAGTTTCTCTTTCCTACAATCTTAAAACAATTATTTAAGAAAAAAATGTTATTTTAATTCTTCATCAGATGGTGAAAAACTATATTTGTATCGAAACAAAAATGCTGAATAAAACTTAGCCATATTTGTTCGTTGTTTTGAATTATGCTGAAACTGATGAGATCATTTTCATGTTCGTTTTAATTTTACAGCAATATTCCTAAAAAAAACTACAAAAGATAAGTACAAAAAATTTGTTTTAAATATTTCAGTTATTTTACTTCAATTTTATATAGAAAATTCGAAAACTTTTTTTTAATTGTTTTAAATGCATCCGTAAATTACCACTGAAATTTATAATCACATTGTTAATTATGGGTAAAGTAAACTAAGTAAGCTAAGCATCATATTATTAAAGTATACTAAGCATCACTGCTGTCAATAATAATTTGAAATTTTTTTATAATCCTCTGATGCATATATTTAACTATTGAAGTTATAACATTGAAGCATATAATTTTCAGTTATATAACATTAAGAAATACCATTTTTGAAATTTTTAAACTTAAATTTTTTTCCCAAATGTTTCATGGAATTGTCGCAAGCATTTTAGTAAACTAATAATTTTATACAACAGATCAAAGTTATCAAAAAAGTACATTAAAAATATAGTTATAGCATTGAAAAGAAATAAGAATTAGCTTTAAAAAAATCTTATGTAATAAATTTTCTTCGATGTAATTTGTCACAGTTGAAAAAGTACTGTTGGTTGAGCATTAAATATTTTAAGAAGTTTTAACTAACTTAAGAAGTATTACTTTAAATCAAGGATTGCTTTTTGAAAAGTTTTTTTAATGTTTCATTATCTGAAATCAAAAAATTTTCAAAAAAATTAAAAAAGTATTTATAAATTTAAAAAAAAATTTTTTTTTTAAATTTATTTTTTTGAAAAAAATATCCTTATTTTTAATAACATCAGATTTATTTTCTATGTTTTTTTTTTATCATTTTCCTTATCAATGCGAATTATTCATATTGTTTTAAGAAATACAAAACTAATTACATTTAAGAACAATTAATGTCTTATCAATATCGTAAATTATATATTTTAATTATGCTATGCCTTATGGACAATGGTTGCAAAGGCATACGTCTTATTTTTCATTATTTATAAAATATATTTTTCAATAAAATTTACAGAAAGATTACTAAATATCGCGCGTAATATTTCTACGATTATTATAATTTACTTTTTATTACATATTCCAGGTAAAAAAAATTCAAAAAATTCCTTTCATAAAGTGATAGTTTGCCTTACAAAAATAGTTTAAAGATACATATATTTTTCGAATGTAATTATGATACGATACAGTGGTTCAATAAAATAATGATGCTCTCATTTATTTTGTTGCTGTAACACATTTATATAAAAGCGACAAAAAAATACTACATTGTGCTAGGAATTTAATAATTTTGTTATCCCAAAAAAAACCTTTTTACGTCGATGACAATTTATAAATGTAAACTGAACTAATATTCTAACATATATATAATTGGGTATAATATGAAAAAAACACAACTACTTCGATTTAGTAGGAACAACATATGACGCAATGCTAAACGAATGGAATTTAGTTGTTGTTTATTTAGTTATTGTTATTAGTAGTTGTTGTTATTTGTTTTAGTTGTTGTTGTTTATTTAGTTGTATTTAGTTTCAATAACTTTTCTTTATAATGCAATAAAATCTGGCGAGCAGCTATTTAAACGATCGAACACTTCGTTTGTTTATTTGTGGCTTGAAGTTAGGCTCGCAGAAAATGCCGTTCATGGGTTAAATTTAGTAGGAACAACACAACCTGTGACGTAGGCTATATTATACCCAATTGAAAAAGAGAATAGATATTATTAAGTTACTGCTATGAAAGCTGTGAGCAACTGTAGATAAGTTAAACATATAAAAAATTGTGTCAAAACATTCATTTTGAGTACAAAGTAAAAAGAATAAATTTTTTCTTCATCCGTAATTTTAAATCGTGAGTAAAATATCTAAGTACAATTAAGCAAAAAACAACGCGAATCAAGTACAAATGAAAGTGCATAAATTTTTACTTTATTCACATTATTTTTTGCTTTAGTCTATATATCACAGAGAATACCCTATCCTTTGTTGGATATTCTAGTGTAAACACAACTTAGATACATATATGCTATAAAATTGACTTAAGGTAGCAATATAATAGCTCTAATAATATTTTAACAATGCAAAATAAAATATATATAAAAACTTTTTTGCAGTATTAATTTATCATAACTAAATGAGTAAAATATATAAGTATTTCATTAACCTGAATATGTCTCCATACTGTTTACTAATTTCAATAAACTTTAAATACGGCTTTTCCGTCAAAAATGGCGCATATCCAAATAAGGGTAATCCATAGGGTCCAGGTGGATATTTCTTGCCGTGTCTTCTAATAGCTGTGGTTATTAAATATACAACAGCGAGAACGATAACACCAATTATAATTTCACTCTTCAGGCCTAAATCTCCCGAGAGAATCTGTTTCAACATTTTCAAACTAAATAATCACCATTAAACAATTATTTTAAAATACTGAATTGAGCGAAGATATATCTATAACATATTAATAAGCAAGATGCAGTTATTGAAATTATCTTTTTTTCCCCACTCAATATATACACATTCGTTAGAGAATATGATGAACTATCTGCATTTTTTTTTTGCATGTTTTATCTCAGTTAAGTTGATTGTAATACTTATCGTAAAACCTTAAAGGCCTTGTTATTTCTACTTCACTCTAAGAAGAAGTTTCAAATGACCTTGAAGTCTGTCATCGTAATAAGTGATGCTCAAATTTTAGATTGCATCAGATAGGGTCAGTAAAAAACTCTTTAATGACCGAGCCGTATTTTTTAAACAATATTTTGCATTCTAATCTTAAAGTTTGTAAGTAAAAAAATAAAAAATGAAAACGTGTTGGGGGTGAAAAGTCAAACGTAAAAAAAAAAATAATAATAACAACAAGTACATAATAATAACATAACATAAACAATAAAACAAAAAAAATTGAGAAATTGTTGGAAAGGAGTCTATAAATTTGCTTTTTAGAAAATATTTCTAAGCGAATAAACACTTAATAATTCGCAATTAACATAGCAAAATTAATGCACACGCTTAAATACAAATAAAAGAAAAGATTATGACTAACAACCAAAAGCGCAATACATGCTGCCATTTATTAAAATAGTAATAACGCCACTTATTAAAAAATTACATCTCTTAAATAAATTTTGTGTAAAGAAATGCAAATAAAAATAAAAAAAATAGTGTAAATTAAAAACAAAAATAAAAAAATAATAAATGAAAACGCTGGGGACGAAAAGTTAAATGTGAAAGAACTAGATAAACCATGAATTTTTTTAAATTTAATCGAAAAATTATAGCAAAAATTTCTATAAATCAAAAAAGTATCGATAACTTTGCTTGGTTTCAAGTATTTCTAAGTGTATAAACATTTAATAATTCGTAATTAATATAGCAAAAAGAAAACACGCGTTTAAATACAAAAAATTTAAAAAAAATAGATTATGACTGACAACCAATTGTGCAATATATGCTCCATTTATTAAAATATCAATGACGCAACTTATTAAAAAAACTAAAAAGTTTATTTCTATGAGCTTACAATATATTTTTAGAATCGTCCTCAAAAATGGTGGTAGTCTTTAATAAGTTTATTGATGAGTATATCATAGATTTTAGCATGATATTTTGTTTATTACTAATAGATGTAATAAAATAAACGAAAACAATTATCGAAATATTAAATACTTCTTTTCATTGAAAAATATGAAAACTATGCAAAAGTTTGAAATGCAATTTAAAATGTCAAGGGAGTCAAAATATTAAAATTAAGAAACATTCCATAAAAAAGTATTCTTGTAATTGTATTTTCGGACTTATTAATTGAATAAAATATTTTTATTGAAGTGAAATATTATTACAGTTTAAATATACACTGAGTGGCCAAATTATTATGACCATCTCAGAGTTTTATGCAAATGAGTTATTGCGTCACAGCCTTGCCGCTAGAGGGCAAGATAACTATAACACGGGAATGCTGGACAAGTGAGTCATCAGTTATACTGTGTTTCTTGCTCAGATATGGGAAAGAAAAGTGATTTGACTGAATTTCAACGTGGAATGATTGTGGGTGCGAGATGTGTCGGAACGAGCATCAGCAAAACGGCTGCACTTGTGAAGTGTTCTAGAGTAGCAGTTGTTAATGTGTACAAAGAATGGACAATCAAGCAAAAAACCGGATCTCAATGTCAGACTTGTGGTCGTCACAGGGTACTGAATGCTCGATCAGAGAGAAGGCTGCCAGGGATGTGCAGCGCAACAGGAGAGCAACAGTGCGACAAATTGCAAGTGATCTTAATCAAGGAGCAACTGTTGAACGTCTCTGAACGTACTGTTCGACGCACATTGCGCCGTATAGGGTATGGAAGCAGACGACTGAAGGGGTGGTCATAATAATTTGGCCACTCAGTGTATATTTTTTTACCTTTATATATCCTCAATTAAAGATATTAATAAAAGACTTTAGCAGTTCCTTTAAAAAAATAAACAACGTTTAAAATTGTATCTTTTAGTGAGTATTTTTTATCTTAAGGATTTCTTTAAGGATTTTAAAATAGAAATTTAGTTGTTATATTAATAGATAAAAAGATTGTAGATTGAAGATTGTATATAGATAAAAGGTTGATCTCAGATTGTTGACAGATATAACTAGTCCTCTTAGTGTCTCATCTAATTTTAATCGTAAATATTAAGTTAAGAAATATTGAAAAAATATATTAAAAAATCATAAGTTCCTCTACTGTCGCTGTTTTTGAGTGTTCAATTTTAAGTTACATTTATATTGCTGTGCTGAAACTATCAAACTCAGAAACTTGAAATTTCGAAGGTATGAAAGAGAATGTGCTAGAAGTACGATGGAATTAAAGGAACCACATTCGATATTGGTTCAAGAATTATCAACTGTTAAGCTTAAAAAATAATACGCGTCCTATTTTGAAAGCTACAGAAATGCAACTAGAGTTGAAACTGAAGTCCTGAAAGGACCATCTTTGTTTATGAACTTTACACGAAATGTTTTCTTAATTCCAATTTATTCGGAAGTTATTACACGTTTAAAGAAACTGAGAAAACGCAGTTTTCAAGAGTCTGGTCGTAGACACGCGCAGAACATACGTTCTTGAATAGGCAATGCTAAATCTCTCCAATCTCCTCCACACCCTTTCCTCTTGAATATTTCTAAAATCGAGAGTTCTGTACAGGGGTGTTTTTTAAGGGAACATATTTTATGAGTAATCCTTATTCACAGAATGAAAGAGTAATTTTGCAGCATGCAGAAACTAGTCCCTTTTTTTTGCTTCATCGTTATATTTTTCTTTCAAAAGCTATTTCTGTTTTGATAAGTTGTTGGCTTCATAGTTTTAGACATCTCAGAAGTATTTTATCTCCAATGCCCTTTTATCCTTTCGTCAATTTAGGCATTTACAGGGCAGATTTGTTGGCCACTATTTCAGGGACACCATATCAGGGCCCAGTGACGTAGCGAGCTTAACTCGCACTCGGGGCACATTACCCTTTTAGCGCCCCCCATTCGAAAACCATATAATATTATATGTAAAATATACTCGCAAATTAATAAATAAATAAAGTAAAATAAATAAAGTCATAGACTCAAGCTAGGCTTTAAATTTGAGACAAAAAATGTACAGGGTAACAAAAAAATATAGGGATCATTTTTGAATGTTTTTATTTCCAAAATTTATTACATAAATTCAGCGATGTTTCTCAATATGTCGACCTCCGGCATAATAGATTTGTCTACAACGCTTCGGCCATGATTTTAAAGCCCGCAAAATGATTTCCTGGGGGATTTTCTTCACCTCTTCTCTAATAGCTCTTTGAAGGCCTCTCAATGTAGAAATTCTTCGCTTATTCAGTTTGTTTTTCAGATGTCCCCATAGGAAATAGTCGCATGGTGCAGCATCAGGACTGTTTGGAATCCATTGTTCTGGTCTCAGGAATTGCACTTGCTGATCTGTTAGGAATTTCTGGGTGACCTTAGATGCATGCGATGGGGCAGAGTCCTGATGGAACACAGCATCACCATTAGGGTACAATCTGCAGTAATCATCCTTAAGAAAGGGCTTTAATATCTTCTGTATATAATACTCAGAATTTATTTTGGCCCCAGGTTTCACAAACCGAGGTTTGGTCACACCATGGGCGGATATGCCCATCCAAACCATTACGCCTTTGGGATGAGGCACCGTGGTTGATGGTGTCAAGTCTCGCCTGTTCTGCCCACGGCTAAGATATTGAACTTTAGATTTAGCATTGGTATCAGATAGATAGATCCAAGCTTCATCAGTTGTAATGAACTTTCGCCATCTGTCCTTACGGAGAAGCTTGTAGAGGGGCCATGAACGTTGCCTCCTAATCTGCACCGATCTCTCACTTAAATGATGACATTTAGGTTTTTTATGGTATTTTTTCTTCAGCTTTTGTTTTAGTTGATAGATTACAACTTGCTGACTCACGTTAAGAGCTTTAGCCATGCTTGCCTGTGTTGGTGGATCAGGTTTTGATGTCATCTTATCAAGCTTCTGCAAATCTGATTTCTTCAATTTGCTTGGCCGTCCACTTCTTTTTGGTTTTGCATTATTTTGCATCGATCCGAGTTTTGAATTCTTGATGCGACTGATATGGCTGAGTGAAATCGCAATACCTTTCTTTTTAAAATGGGTTTGTATAATCCTGTGGCCCCATCGAAGTTCTAAAAAGGCTTATACTTGACCAATTAGCTTTTTGTCAAATTTCTTCAAAGGCATTTTTGTGACTTTATGAAATAGTATTGCAATTGAAAGTCTAATAGCAGAGCTTTAGATCGGTATGCTATATATGTAAAAAGGTTTTAACACTTTAGTGGTAGATAACCACAAAAGTGATCCCCATACTTTTTTTGTTACCCTGTAGTTGAGAGAACAAGACTAGATTTTGAAATGTATATGATCATCTAGAATTAGTTCAAAAGATACTTATTATTAATTTTACATATTTATAAAGAAATATTTTAAAAACACACAGTTTTAAAACAATAAAAAAGTAAATATTTATTATCTCTAAGGAGATACATATATTTAATAATCATCTGATTACAATACATTAATAAAACTAATTACTATGTCTAAATTTTCCGTGCTTTTGATGAAGCAAATGTATCAATAATATCATCAAAATTGATCATTTAAAATTTTTCTCTTTCCACACTTAAAAATGCTAGGTCACTTAGGCAATCTGTCAAAATTAATTTTAATTTGCTGAATGAACGTTCGCAGCTAGCAATTGATGCTGAGATAGTCAGGAGTATTTGAAGTGCCGCTCTCAGATTTGGAAAAACATCTTCTCCATTCGAGATTGATTATAAAAGTAAGAAATTCTAATGGAGTTTTAGGTTCATTTTCTTTTCTACTGCGGAGTAACATTTTGCTGTCACATATTTTGATAAAAAGTTCTATTACATTGAAATCTGTTTTATAAAATTCACCCAAATTTTTAAATTTTTTTTCCAAGGTCGTTATCAAAATATCCTTGTTTAATAAATTTTCAACGTCTAGTAGAAATCCAAAGTTGAAATTAAGGTCACTTAATCGTGTACACATTTCTTGCCAATTCTCCAGGCACGTATTGTTGTATCCATATCCCATTCTTCCCAAAGAGACTCCGCTTTTTCTATTGCTTCTTTACAGAGCTTGTCTCAAATTTCGGCTAGTTCAGTCGCTAATGATTCAAGATCATAGAACACTT